CAACTTGTGAAGAACACGCGACGGCGTAACGCTCTCGCCCGGCCTGAACATGTGATCCTCCGGTAATATCACCGCGAGGTAGCACCTGCCCACCCACGCCAATCTGTAGGTTTCGACGTCGCCGCCGGGTTGCTGTATATCGCGCTGCGGTCGCGACGACGATTCGCGCGTAGCGTTCAGATCGCGCTGAAGCGCTTGGTGTTCTTCTAGAGTACGCGTCAACGACGCTTTCGTGTCGCGTAGTTCGTCCTTGCACATGGCCAGCTCGCGCGACAGTTGTTCGCACGCGGCTTTATAATTTGTCTTGTCTTCCGGCGACGCGACGCTCTCCTTTTCGACGATGGAACGGGCGCATTGTCGGCAGACAACGCACGAACGCTTGGTCGTCGTCGTCGGAAGCTCCTGGGTTTCCGACTCCTTGTCGCGAGATTGTTCCCTTTTCAGTCGCGCCAACTCCTCGTTGAGTCGTAGTACTTCGCGTTTCAGGACTAGCGCGGTCTCCGTTTCGCGCTCGTCCTTTTGCATAACGGAAGACCGAGTACGCATGGTGTTGACCATGTTGTTTCGTATTTACATGCGTATGTTAGACGGGAAAACATAAACAAAAACAAACACGCTTGTATAAATACATATGTACACGGACCACAAATATCGCGCGGCTTGTCCCATCTAACTTCGGTTAATGCGTTATGTGCTGCTCGTCGGGATAGTAATCGGGTCCGTACGTCGGCTGTTGTCGCGTCCACAGTCTATACGCGTATTCCATGCTACGGATACACTTGTTTGTCGTCTCGACGGTCCACGTTCGCGAGATCCGATTCGATGAAAACTCCGCTAACCGCGCGAGCTTGACTGCGTGCGCGTGGATCGCGTCCGACGACGTATTACATTTCCACATGTCGACGAGATCCAAACACCACCGACCGAACTCGCCGTGAACACTTAGCTTTGTAAGGATCTTAGTGCCCCCGAGTCCGGGTAACGTGTACGTGTAGTCCGTGCCGGATAGAATCATAAACATTAACTTGATATTGCGTTTTGAGGCGTTTGACGCGAGTGAATGTTTCTTGGACAGGTAAAAGTGCGGACCGGCGCGACACAACGTCAAGTATCTACCGTACAAGCGCTCGCCCGACGCGTTGTCTCTGTATATTTTATGAAGGGCGCGGTAGCGCGACAGTAACTCTTTCTGAGTCATCTTTACGCGCGCGAGGTCGCGTTCTTCGTCCGTCTCGTCGTCGATGGGTTTTGGCGCATCGGGTTCCTCCGCGCGTTCTTCGTCCACTCGCGGGCGCTTTTCCGGCGGAGTTGAGTCGTCCAACGTCTCGACGGTCCACCGCGGGTTCAGTTCACACAACGCGGCGCGACATCTGAGTCGTCTGTCTTCGTGCGACGCGACCAAAACGGCGTCCACGTGCTTTTCCTTCGGAGCCGCGTCGAATATCTCGTTGAAGAGTGTTTCGTCGGAGACCTTTGTTGCTTTGTCGCGGCGCTCCAGCAAGCGCTCGTACACGCTCTTCGCGAAGTCGAGCGTGTCCGACAGTTCGGGAAGTCCAAACATCAAGCGCAGCAGGTCCACGTACAGCGCGCCTCGGATTCCGCCCGAGTACAGCAGTCTCGCCGCGCGTTCGACGGAGAGCGACCCCTTCGCGTTCACAATCGATTCCCAGCCCGCGTGCAAAGCGCGCACGTCGCACGGAAGAATGTCGCGCGTCGGATCCGCGTCGCACAACGCGTGCAAACGGTCCGTTTCGTTGTCGAAGCGAGCCGGTTCGCGCGCCGTTTCGACAACGCGAACTAGAGCGTTGTAAAACGGAGTCAGGAATATGCTTTTGTCGTGTTTGTAACTGAGATTATCCAAGCGTAAAAGGGTGCTCGTGTCCCCGATCGCCGTCAGTATCGCGACGACGTCGGTGTCGCGCGTGCACACAACCTTCGGGCCGTCCAGGGCCGTCGCGAGTTCGATCATGACGGTGTCGGCCTCCACGCCGAGGCATTGCAAACAGGCTCGTTTCAAGTCGTCGCAACCTCGCGTGCCGTCTTCGGCGCACGTGTACATGAACACTCCACGCGAGTCGCTCGGTTTTCGGTTGTAGCGGCGGAGCGCATCGTGTCCTTCGAGCGCGAACGACGTATCGTCGTCGTCGAGCAACGCGTCGGTCGGCTGTTGTTCGGACACGCAAACAAAAGCGGGGTTTTGGTTTGACGCGGACATGTCCGCGCCCGTTACGAAAAAGACACGATCCCCGAAACCCATCGCGTGCAACGCGTGTATCACCGCGGCTTCTATCAACTCCGCGTGTTGTTTGTAGAATTCAATGTGCTTCGCCGTCGGGCGGTTTTCGCGTTGTTTGCGCACGGTGGGTTTCTGCGCCCCGCGTCCGTCCCTAACCAACACGAGATAACGCGTGCGTTCCAACTCGGACGCGTATATGTTACATAGTCGCGTGGCCATCATGCGAACGGAACAAGCGGGTGGTTGGTCTTCCGCGTAATCGTTCTCCGTGAGCTTGTAGATTGTAATCAAATGATCCACGAAAGTCCAGAGCATCTGCTCCGATGGTGGCGAGCGAAGGTAAAAGGGAGCAACGCGACCGTTTGCTAACATCACGTGAAACGCGTTGTTTCTGAGACCCATGGTGTTCTTGTTTTCTAATACGAACAAAAAAAATCCCGTCCGGGGCAGAAAAACACACGCGTATGATAGACGCGTTGTCGATTTTCGTATATTTATACGAAAAAAAAACTCGTGTGGAGTGAGGTGGAGTTAACGACGCGCGTGTACGGTCGTGTCACGACGTCGCTCCGACGCGTTACGTTTGTAAACAACGCCGTTTTTGTGTTCGTTGAACAACATGTTTCTGTAACACAAGTCCGTCTTGTCGAACGACGCGTCGCCGCGCGCGCGGCGAACGGATCGCGTGGGAATACACGTCGGGGTTAACGCGTTCAGCACTTGCGGACAAAAACAAGTCAACCACGGAAACGCCGCTTTGAACAATTTCCCGACGTAAGGTTTGACGCATCGTTGTATCGTGACGTGATTCGTTCCCGGTCTGATTATAACCAAGTACGCTGCCGTTTTGTGCGCCACGCTCGGGTACGTGAGCGAAAACATGATCCAGCTCAGCCACAGTTGAGTGTTGTATCGCCGTGTCGTCGCTTTGTCCAACTCGTCGCCGTGTCTCGTTTTGAGCTCGAGGAGCGCGATGTTGTTCGAAACGCCGTCGTACGCGACCAGATCGATTTCGGTGTAAGAACCAGGCTCGGACGGGAGCGCCCGGCAGCCATTGGAGCACTTGTTGTGATACGTGTATCCTCCTCCGCTCGCGCGAAGCGAATCCATGTCGGGTCTCGGTATTCCGGCCACCTCGACTCCGCCGCGTATCGGTCGCAGAAACAAACCTTCTAGTTGCGTTAGAATCAGCCGCGAGATGGGACCTACATTTTCTTTTGACTTCGCTCCGTTGTACACGGCCTTGCACTCGAGATCGACCGTTACACCGATGCACGCGGATACGCGATGCTTGTCCCACAGCCGCTTACAATCGTCGAACAGCGTTATGTCCGACTTGTTGTTGAGCAGCAACGACTCGAACGCGTCCGCCAGTTCGACCATTTTGCACGAAGGTCTATTCAATTTAGCGAAATACTCGCTCATCCACGATTTGACGAAGCCCGTGTCGCGCGCGGTTGGATTCCGGAGGAGGTTTCGCCGCAGCTCCAACATTTTCGTGTACAAATCCATAACGATCATGTTGCACCCCGCGCCGCGTCGTTTGTTGGATTTCAACCGCGCTATCGTGCGCGTTATACCCTGTACTTTATACCAGCGATGATCCAAATCGGATTTTGCGTAATGCGCGCCTCCCTCGTACTTGAACTTGATCGCGGGGCTATTCAGCTCCTCCATGGTATTAACAATATGCGACCTATCGCGTACGTTACGTTTTTTTTTCAATCGCGCGCTGTTGTGATTAATAAAACTACATACGGATAATTTGCGCGGTTCGCGGCGGCGAGGATGACTCGAAAACGCGGCGCGGGTCTCGAATCGGCCTTCACGATGGGCATGGGCGCGATTTCGAGCAAGTTAGGCGCCAATGCGGCTGTCAAACACATTAGTCATTTCAAGGGTAAATTAGGTGGCGCGATAGCTGTGATAACGTCGATGATTGTTGGTTTTTTGGTTATTCCCAACAACATCATGTATTTCATCGACGACACGCACAAGGCTCGCGTGAACGTCGCGCCCTCGGGGACCAGCGCTCCGCCTGACAACGAAGACATTCGCTCCGCKTACATCCACGCGGGCATTGCCGTGATACTGCTCGGTTGTTTGTCTATGGTTGTAAGTATCGTGCTTAGTTATTTCGCCGCCGAGAGCAAGTACAAAACGGACGCCGCCGTGGACTCGACCGGGACGAGGACCGTCCTGACGTGTCTGATTATGATGAACGTGGAGTTGTTCATGGCCGTCATAGCGGGATGTATGGAGCTGCTGTATCGTCCKCTGACTAAACAGATACAGCGACAACACGCGGTCGAATGCGCGATCGCCGTATTCAATATAATCATATACGTGTTGTACGTGATCACCATGGTGTTGACTTCGAACGTGCTACAAAACAGATCGCGTGTCGAACCGGCGGAGAATTATCACCACCACGGTTTGGCTACACAAGACGCGCCGCCGATGGACATGGCGTACGGTACTCATCGCGTGTCATCTACGCGCGACTTTTACCCGCAAAGCATAGGTGCACGCTCCGCGGCTGAAATGTTTTAAGGCACTGTACAAATCTGTGTCGAAAGAATGAATACCGTACACGGGGTATTTTTTTTTAATTTCTTGTTGTTTTTTTTTTGTGTAAAATGTATATTTTATTATGCGTATAAATGTGAAATTAAAAAAAATCACCATTACTAGTAGGATGTCTGTGTGTTCTTTTTTTTATTACGAACGATTATGTACCCAAAACAAACAACTGACAGGAAATCTTTGTCCTTTTTTTTTATGAAAAGAAATGGCTAACGAACATGTATTTTTTTTATTTAACAAATAGAACACAATACACATACAATACTTAGAAGTCATCATCATCCGGGATCAGCCTCGTTCCACAATCGGGACACTTGTAGACCGCATCCATGCACACTTCTTTTTCCAGACACAGACAACACAGGACGACTGGAAGAAGCCTATTTTAAATAACAAGATGAACGGTTATAATCCATATGTGACAAATGTCGTACAAGTTGTTTAAATAAATTTCAAAGTACTTACCCTGTTATACAGGACAAACATAGCATCGAAAGCGAATATTCACCAATCGTATACGAAACGTCCGGGTTAACGTGTCGATTACACGTAGGACAGTGTACTATAATACAAAAAAAATAAAACACCACAGTCATTTATATGTTTGTTTTTTTTTTTAAAAAAAAATACAGACAGCACAGGATTTTTTTTTTCTCGATAACGTACCAATCAACGCGTTCTGGGTGTCATCGACCACAGCCGGATCCTGACTTAGTACCGATTCGTCGACCAGAGACCTCGCATCGTGTACATCGCAGCCTGAATCTGAATCCATAACCAACGAACGAGTAGCTTCGACTGGTGAAACGGCACCGAGATGGAAGTGTCATACAGACAGGACGGCTGTGGGGTTTTTATACTAGATTATGTGTGAAATTATCATTCAACAACGGTTCCCGGGTGAAAGGAATACATTAACGCGGACCATTTACAGTGCCAGCTCTCCTTCGACAGCCGGGGTCGCCTGTGAACCGAGGATAATGTGGCAGCATTAGCGTGCTTTTAACGGGTCTGGGGAAAAAAAAATCCTCTGTGCTTTTTATCCGGATAGATCGAAGTCCATTAACAGCCGAAATGTGTCATGGAGTGTGAATTTTGAATACGTCTCAAAGAAAAAGGCATTGGACACAACAACGCTGGGCCTTTGTGTTTCAGCGCAGAAGAGGTTACGACCCAAAAAATTATTATAATAAGGCCCCGTTGAGAGAAAGAAAGGGTTGGAGAATGAATGAATAATAAAACATATTCCCACAAAAAAAGGAGAAATAAATCGCAAGGGTCACAGCGGCAGATTGACAGGGTGTACTTTATGCAATTCAATGAGCCTACATGGTCGGTCGGGAAAACATCAAAACAGAACGTGGTACACAATCACGGTTTAGTTGTGTGTGTCACAAAGTTATGGTCGGTCGGGAAAATAGTTTTGGTGTATAATAAACATCGTGGTCAGGACATGCTCAAACATCACATGTTGTGATTGCGGTAGGTGTAGTTATTATTTGAGCGAACGGTGCGTACATCGAGGGCCTCAACGATTACTATTAACAAACGCGGTACGCGAAAACTATTGTTAAAATAAAAACAACAGCGAAATCGAGACGGCGACGGGATACGACGCGCCCATGGCTTCGTATAACGCACTTACGCTAAAACGGCGTGTTCTCAACGAACGCGAGATTCAGCTGTTTGCGTCCGTGGATAAAACACACATACACAACAAAGACTTCAACAATACCATAATACACAACAAAGACCTCCCGTGTAACAACTTGAATATGAAATCTGTTCATTACGCATCACATTATCACATAAATGCAATCTTGGCAGCGTTCTCGTTTCACACCAAAACCGAAACGGAGCCCGTGATCCGTTACGCGGAACCTTATGTGATATAATCTCACTTTTAACAACAGAACGTTCTTCCTGCGCGCGCTGTTCGCGGTTTTTGGTTGATGTGGAATATTATGTATGTATATTGCAATAAAGAACTGTTTTTTCCTCCAATGGCTTGCTTTGTGTTTATCGCGCATTGTGTGTTTGTCAAATTAACCCCATTTCAACCGGTTACGCGTCAACACTCAGAGCGAGTTTGAACCCCCCAAAAAAAACACAAGAATGGAAACACAACATCTGGTTTGTAAAAACGTTATTTATTTCATAATTTTCTTTATAAACACATAAAAAACTGTTCACTGAAAGAAACAAAAAACCGTGTGCGCACACAAAGTTTTTCCTCGGCGGCGCTCTCGTCTAAAAACACAACACCCTTGGCTTTTTTGCAGTACGCGTCGAACAACAACGCGGACGAGTCTCTGTACCAACCAACGACGCTGTCGAATTTATATCCCGCGTTGTAACGGTCCGCCACTACGTCGGCGTTGTATTCATCGTAAACCGGGTCTGCGCACACGTCGCACCCGCACATATCGTGGTGATGATCCCTTTCGGGGTCGTCGATGTCCGCCTCTTTTGTGATACGACCCGCTTCATTGTCTCTATCGCTCGCATCCATGGTAGCACGATATGTTTTTCAACAATCAAAACGCCGCCGATGAGGGTGTAAGAAAATACGAGTTCTATAACGGTTGAAATCAGGTAAAAACACAARTGTTAAATAAAGTGATCTGTGACGAAATGAATGCCATACAACACCAGAATTCCGGAGTGAGGGGTTTATTCAGCCATGAGCTGAGCGAGTCAACCACACACTGAAGACATAACAGGAAGTGACCCTATAAATACAGGGTCTTCAATGCCCGAG